AGCATTTTTAGTTCTTATCACTCTTCTTCCGCACATGAAGAGATCTTAGACACTATTCACCCAAGCAGGATGTAGACCACTGTCTTAGTGGATTATGTTATGCCAGTTGACCATGGTGTCCCCTGAGACTATGGTCCTGAGCCCCTAGAGTCATCAACTCATTGCCTTAAAACCTTTGATATTATCTAGGAAGTTATTGTCATTTTGCTTGCAATATGCTCCACCACAGTCATAGTATGACAGGTAAATATTCATGTACAAATACCCTCTTTCAAACTTTTATATTTGTGGGATACACATACACGTATGTGTGTGGAGTCCTGGTGTGACACTGCAGGTTAATGCTCTAGATTGTAAAGTCGGTTTGAACTGCAAAATCGGTGGTTCAAGCTCACCAGCTGCTCCTTGGAATCCCTATACACAGCTGCTTAGATAGCACTTAACTATGTATGTATATATGAGCTCTGGTAGTGTAGTGGATACGAGTCAGGCTGCTAACCTCAAGGTCAGCAGTTTGAAACTACGAGCAAATTCCATGGGAGAAAGATGAGACTTTCTGTTCCCATAAAGATTTATAGCCTTGGAAACCTTGTGCAGGGTTGCTGTGAGTCAGAACCAACTCCATGGTACACCACCACCATCACCACATCAACCACTCTTCCTCCCTTACCCTTTCAGCCTATGTCTCAGTCTACATATCTACTCACAGAATACTGTTGTTCCAAGAGTGTATATACATCCAAATTTTACCTCTCTCCCATTTAGCCCTTGCATACTTCCCTATACCTTCATCTGTCTTCTTTATTCATCTGCCACCCTTTCTCTTCTTGTATATTGCCCCCCTCTTGTATATTTCCCTCCCTGCCACCCAGGCTAACTTGTGGCTATCCTTTAGCCAATGAATTACTCTCTCCTTCCTTCCACTCCTAGTAACCGTCAAAGAATGTTTCTTTTAGTATGGTAACCTTTCCCCATTATTTTTCAACTGAATTTTCACACTACCTTTTTGAAGCCCTCACATATATTAAATTGCTGTTGTTGTTGTTGTTGTTGTTGTTGTTAGGTGCCATTGAGTTGGTACCAATTCATAGAGACCCTATGCTCACCAGAACATAACTCTACCTGGTGCTGCGCAAACCTCACAATCAGTGCTACGCCTGAACCTATTGCTGTGGCCACGGTGCCAGTCATCATCGTTTTCTCCGACCCTCCACTTTACCAAACATAACCTTCTTCGGGGACTGATCCCTCGTGATAATATGTCCAAATTATGAGAGATGAGTGTGACCATCCTGGCTAACAAAGTATTCTGACTGTAGTTACCCAACACAGATTTGATTTGTTCTTTTGGCAATCCATAGTACTTGTAATATTCTCCATTTGTCTTCCTTATTCATTTTCCAACTTTCACATGCATATGAGGGCCCTGGCACACACCTTTCCTAATTTTAAACCATTTGGTGTTCCCTATTCTGTTCGAACAACTATCTCTTGATCTAAGTACAAGTTCCTCATGAGAACAATTAAGTGTTCTGGAATACTCATTCTTCGCAATATTGTTCATAGCTTGTTAAGATCCATACAATCAAAAGCCTTTGCAATAAAGCACAGGAAAATATCTTTCTGGTAGTCTCTGCCTCCAGCCAAGATCCATCTGACATCAGCTATGATATCCCTCTTTCTGTATCCTCTTCTGAATCTGGCTTGAATCTCTGCAAGTTCTCTGTCAATGTATGGTTGCAGCCATTTTTGTACTGTCTTTAGCAAGATTTTACTTGCATGTGATATTAATGATATTGTCCAGTGATTTCTTCATTCTTTTGGGTCACCTCTTTCGAATGGGCAAAAATATTGAATTTCTTCAGGTCAGTTTGGCCAAGTAGTTTACTTTCAATTTTTTTGGCATAGATGAGTGTGTACCTTCAGTGCTACATCAGTTTGTTGAAAGATTTCAATTTGTATTCTATCAATTCCACATGCCTTGGAATTGCCAGTGCCTTCAATACACCTTGGAACTTCAGTATCATTGATTATTGATCATATGCTACCTCTTGTAATGGTTGAGCATCAACATTTCTTTTTGGTACAGTGACTCTGTATATTCCTTCCATTTTCTTTTGATGCTTTCTGTATCATTCAATATTTTCCTCAGAATCCTTCAATATTGAAATGCTGAGTGTGTTCTTTCCTTTTGGTTTTCTAACTCCAGATCTTTGCACATTTCATTATAATATTTAACTTTGTCTTCTCGAGCTGACCTTTGAAATGTTCTTTTTAGCTCTTTTACTTAATTTTTTCCATTTGCTTTAGCATCTCTACACTAGAGAGCAAGTTTCAGAGTCTGTTTTGACATCCATTTTGGTCTTATCCTTCTTTTTTGTTTTCTTAATGACCTTTTACTTTCTTCCTGTATGATGTTCTTGATGCCATCACACAGCGCTAATGGTCTTCAGTATTTAGTGTCAAATGCATCAAATCTGTTCTTCAGATGCTCTCTGAATTCAGATGGGAAATGTTCAAAGTCCTATTTTGGCTCTTGTGGACTTGTTTTCATTTTCTTCATTGCTATTCATAAAGTTTTCAGTGATTAAATATTCAGAAGTAGGGTGTCTCTCTTTCTTCTGACTCTGTCTTTGTTTGGAAGCTCAGCTTAAATCTCTCCACCACTGATGACCCTGCTGGTATTTAAAATATCATGGCATAGCTTTCATAATCTCAGTAATATGCAAGCCACCACAGTACAAGAAGCTGACAAACGAGTGGTGGATATATTCAGTAGCATAGGTAAAATGAGCACATACATTTTCTCAGCACTGTATTAAATAACCTGATAATAACATAGGTCTTGATTTATTCAATTCCTAAATTTTGTATCTCAAAAGAATGCCAATTTTTTGTACCAAGTCAACTATTCTGGCCTATAGGATTACTATAAGTTGGCATTGACTTGATAACAGTGAGTTTGGGTTTGTTTGTTGTTGTTGTTTACCACCATATTAATCTATTTTTTCTAAGAATGATTTGTATCTTTCATTCCAAATAAGGAAATCTTTTGTTTTTCTATAAAATTTCGTTGTGTCACCTACCTACATACTCACAGAGCAGTTTTTAAATTGCTTTACACACCAAACCTATATAACAACCTTTATAGACTTAATAATGATAACTATCTATTTAGAAAGTTTTATAAAGTATACTGTCAGTTTATAGCCATATCAATGTAGACATTTCTTATTTTAGCATGAATATTGGTAATTATTCTTCAGGAGACTCTTAACATTGCAATTTTTATAATGAAGCCTTTTTAAAAAAAAAAAACAACTCAAGAAATTCTAACTTGGTTTTAGAAATTATGTTCTGTGCTGCTTTGGCAGTATAGAAAAACTGTAATGGGGGCAGGTTGTGTGTGTAATACAGACTTGATAAGTTCAAGGTAAAAATATCAAGCTTTAATGCCAAATTAAATTTATTCTTCATAGAGTTCCAAAAAGCTGTGAGATTAGAATTACCCTATATTCCTCCTAGTCAAAGACCCTCCCAGGAAATTGCTGATAGACTTAAAAGGCTAGAGGACAGGCACAGTATAATGTGTGTGTGTGT